CCAATGATTTTCACATTCCATTGGGTCACATCACTTTGGAATGAGCACAAATATGGGTCTCTTCCAGTCAGTTGGCCAGGTAGTTGTCTTCCAAATTCTCTGGCATAGTGCCTCCGGAGCTGCATCGGTCTGTTGAAAGATCTCAATTTGTATTCTATTACTAGTGCCTTGTTCTTTGCCAATGCCTTCAGTGCACCTTGAACTTCTTCCTTCAGTATAATTGATTCTTGATCATATGCTACCTCTTGAAATGTTTGAACACTGACCATTCTTTTTTGGTACACTGACTCTGTGTATTCCCTTCATCTTCTTTTGATACTTTCTACATCATTCAATATTTTGTCCATAAAATCTTTCAGTGTTGCAAGTTGAGCCTTGAATTTTTTCTTCAGTTCTCTCAGCTTGAGAAATGCTAAGCATGTACTTCCCTTTTGGTTTTTTAACTCCAGGTCTTTGCACATTCCATTGTAATATTTGCCTCTTGAGCTGCCCTTTGGAATTTTCTATTCAACTCCTTTACTTCCACATTCCTTCCATTTATGTTAACATCTCTACACTATAGAGCAAGTTTCAGAGTCTCTTCTGACATCCATTTTGGTCTTTTCTTTCCTTCTTGTCTTCTGACTGACCTTTTGCTTTCTTCCTGTATGAAGTTCTCGATGTCATCCCACAACTCTTCTGGTGTTCAGTATTTAGTGTCTAATGTACCAAATTTGTTCTTCAAATGATCTCTGAATTCTAGCGGGATATGTTCAAGGTCTTATTTTGGCTCTTGTGGACTTGCTTCAAGCTGAGCTTTCATATGGTCTGTTCCACAGTCTGCCCCTGGCCTTGTTTTGACTGATGTTATGGGCCATTTCCACCATCTCTTTCCCCAGGTATAGTCAATTTTATTTCTGTGTATTCCATCTGGTGCGGTCCATGTATATATATAGTCATCTTGTCTGTTATTTTAAAAAAGGTATTTGCAATGAATAAGTCATTGGTTTTGCAAAATTCTATCATGTTATCTCCAACATTGCTTCTATTACCAAGGCCATATTTTCCAACTATTAATCCTTCATCTTAGTTTCCAAGGTTTTCATCCCAGTTGCCAGTAATTATCAGTACATCTTGATTGCATGGTTGATCACTTTCTTAATTGCATGTTTGACTCAGAATAAAGAAGTTGATAGAATTATTCAGTTTTATCATTACTGGCTTTAGTGATTGGTGGTTGAATTTGAATAATAGTGGTATTTACTGATCTTCCTTGGATGCATACGGATATTATCCTATCACAGACAGCACTGTACTTCAAGACAGATCTTGATATGTTCTTTTTGATGATGAATGCAATATGCTTCCTTTTCAATTTGTCATTCCCAGCATAGTAAACCATGTAATAGTCAGAATCAAAATGACCACTATTCATCCATTTCAGCTCACTAATGCCTAGGATATCGATGTTTATGCATTTAATTTTTGACCATTTCCAAATTTCCTAGATTCATATTTCATACATTTCATGTTCCAATTTTTAATAGATGTTTGTTGCTGTTGCTCTTCATTTTCAGTTGTGCTCCATAGAAAATGAAGATCCCTAAGGTTTCACTCCATTCACGTCATCACTGCCATCTCTACTTTTAGGAGCTAGCCCTTCCCTAGCTGAGTGCCTTCCAACCTGAGGGGCTCATCTTTCGGTACTATATATAACAATATTCTGGTGTTCTTCATCATGTTTCAATATTCAATATTCTGGTGTTTCACTGTCATTGGTAAGGTTTTCTGTGACTTTTGGAAGTATTCCATCTCTCCTTCCTCCTAGTCTCTCTTCATCTGGAAGCTCTGATGGAACTTGTCCACCATGCATAAGACTGCTTGTATTTAAAATCCCATGGCATAGCCTCCAGAATCACAGCAACACACACACCACCAAAGTACAACAAACTGTCAGATGAGTGATAGATTCTAGGTATAGTGGGTATAGTGAGCTGAAATGGACTGGTAGTGACCTTTTTGAATCAGAAATCATGATGCTTACTATGCTGGGAGCAACAGAAAATGAAGAGGAATGGCATCACATTCATTGTCAAAAAGAGCATTTCAAGACCTATGGTGAAATACAGTGCTTTCTGTAATAAGATAATATCTATATATTCCTACAAGGAAGGCCATTGTATTCAAATTTACAAACTAACCATGAAAGCCAGTGATGATGACATTGAAGAATTCTGCCAGCTTCTTCAGTCTGAAAATGGTCAAACATGCAATCAAGATAATTGCTAATGTTTGGAATGTGAAAGTTGTAAACAAAGAGGAAGGATCGGTGGTTGGAAAATATGACCTTGGTGTGATACAAACAATGCAAGAGGTAGCATGATAGAATTTTGCAAGATCAATGACTTCTTCACTGCAGATAACTTTTTTAAACAACACAAACAGTGAAATACTAGTAATAATTGCTATATGAAATACAGGTGAATCATATTGACTAGTTCTCTGAGAATAGTTGATGGAGAAGTTCAGTGTCATCCCCCAAAATAAGGTCAGGGGAAACTTGCTGGTGTAAGTTCATACTGAAGCAAAGAAAATTAAAACACATTCATGAGAGTCAAAATATGACCTTAAATACATGCCACCTGATTTTACAGACCATCATCTCAAGAATTAGACATTAATGACCGAAAACCAGAAGAGTTGTGGAATGACATCAAGAACACTATACATGAGGAAAATAAAAGGTCATTTAAAACAAGAAAGAATAGACCAAAATGGGTAGGAGAAGAGACTCTGAAACTTGCTTTCCAGCATAGAGATGCTAAATCGAATAGAAGACATGAAGTAAAAAGGCTAAACTACAAATTTCAAAGGGCAGCTTGAGAAGATAAAGTCAAGTATTCTAATGAAATGTACTAAGACCTGAAATTAAGAAACAAAATTGAAGAACATGCTTAGATTTTTCCATCTTGAAAGAACTTAAGGAAAAATTCAACCCTTAAGTTGCAATATTCTATAAGCAAAATATTGAATGAAGCAGAAAGCACACCAAAAAAAGATAAAAATAATATCTAGACTAACATATGATCAAGAACGGATGGTATTGAAGGAAGAACTCCAGGCTGCACTGGAGATGACAAAAAACAAACGTCCAGTAACTGATGGAATTAACATTGAAATGTTTCAACTTACTGATGCAGCTCTGGAGGCCTTCACTCATCTATGCCAAGACATTTGGAAGACAGCTACTGCCAACCATTTGGAAGATATCCGTGTTTGTACCTATTCGAAAGAAAGGTAACCCGATGCAATGTGAAAGTCATCAAACAATATCACTAATATTCCATACAAGTAAATTTTTGATGAAGATAATTTAAAAATGGTTGCAGCAATACACCAACA